TTTTTTTTTTTTTTTTTTTTTTTTTCTTTCAACAGACCCCGGGCAATGTTTGGCTCGATGAACGAACACGCGAGAGAATTGAGCGCGAAAAGCGATTAAAAATGCACTCGCACGAAGGGAACGCAGTTGACTTATTATATTTGTTTATATTTATGGAACGATTCCGACGGATTCATCACGAATAATGCCCAACTTTGATATACGAAGCCTTCGTTAAATTGCCTAGAAATCCAAGAAAAATTCAGTCGTTGAAATGGTGAAAATACTGAGTGCATTTCTCAATCGTATTGTATCAGTTTTTCCTCGTTCTTCTTCATCACCTACCGAGATTTCTCTTTTTAACGCAGTAACGAGCAGATTGAAGAATTACTATTCGACGACGATTACACGGGAATCAATCGCGTCACGCGAACGTTGATAAAAGAAATCTCGATCTTTACGCATCGCTTTTATCAACTCGATTAACGCAAATGATACAATCTTTCCTCTCGGCAGGATTATTCATTTCCCTCCTCGAAAGCGAAACAATTCGATGCAAAAAAAAAAAAAGAAAAAAAAAAGCTGCGCTCGCGTTAACCGAGACGCGATTCTTGCGACATCACGAAACACGAAAGCAAACAAGCAGGCGCCAACGATCGCGAAACGTAATTTGCATTCAACGCTGAATTGATGTTAAAGTCTGCCCGAAATCTAGTGAATCGTTTCAAGGTCGTTCCTTCAATATTCTTTTAACTTCAAAGCAACGTCTTCCCGTATGAATTCTGCGGCAAGAGTTTCAATTTGGAAATCTTTTTCCATTCTTTTCTTGGAGGATGATGGAAGAGAAGTATCAAGACAATCGCGTGCAGTGGAGATTATTCTACATTCGAATGGCCTTGGAACATCAATTGATGTCAGACAGACGATACTATCGATCCGTAGAGACCGCACTGCTTTGCCACGTTCGGTGAAAGAACGGAATGAAACGTACACTGCCATAAATATTAGGACGCCGGAGATGATTGAATTAAATTTCAAGCGGATCGTAACGCTTCTTAGAGTTTTTCCATCTTCTTATAAGAGATATCTTGTCATAAATGAACTCGTGTTCTTGCAAATGTAATTGAAGTACGAAATTACATACATTGCACTTTCGATATTTTATTTGTACCTTGCGCATGTATTTTACGTGAAGATTCACAATCTACTTGTCACATGTGCCAACTTACTGTTACAAGTAAAGTAAAACTTGTCGAATACGTGTCCTAATACTCATGGTTGGCAGCCTATGTCGCAATACAATCCGCAAAATGGCGAGCAATAAATTCTTCCAACACTACTATTCGATATAACTATTCGTCGAACTCCAAAGAATCGTTTATGCGGGACGAAGAAAAATATACGCCAATTATTTTTCGCGCTCGTCTAACAATCTTTTCTTTTTTTCCTCTCTCTCGAATTTTATCTATTCTCTTTTCCTTTCCCATCTGTCGAGCATCAAACTTCAACTATTCTCTCTGGACCAGCATCTCGATTATACACGAAGGCTTTCCTTGACACGAAACAACGCTGTTCTCTCATTCACGGTGTGTTGCTTGACGGATACAGGGTCGTATACTGGGTATTTTTTTGGACATGGATGGATTCGCGATTAGGGGTGAGTTGCTTGAAAGAACGTCTGCACAGCTACGGAGTATCAATCTCTCGATACTTGTTGTTAATAATCGTTGAACTACGCCAAGTTGAAGACAAAAGGAACGTTTGTACTCGATCAGTTTTAATGGGAATGATCAAACGAATTGTACGAACCATAGTGTAAAAGATAAAACTATAAAAAAGTTTTCGAAGATGATCTACATACTTAAATGTTAACACTAAACGTACCAAATGACTCCTTTTCGAAATTTACTTTAAATAAAAATATACGTTTGAATATTTTACTAGAAATTAGGTTGCAAATTATTTCCTTTAATAAATTAAGAATTTCTTTCTAAAAATCAACGGTCAAATGACCCCTTATGGTAAGATAGGTATATGTAAAATGCCAGCACGTTTAGTGTTAAATCATATTACTCGATTTCAAGGGTTCAACAGAAATTAAATGAAAATAACACCTTTCT